GCTTAATTAATTTTTTTGTAGCTTTTTTTTTTTTATTTTTTTTTTTCTTTTTTTTTTTTTTTTTGTTTTTTTGAATTTACTACTCTTTTTCAAAGCTTTCAAACACATAACGCTCCCAATTGCGCCAACCGAGTTCTGCTACTAAAGCTTGCCGTAGTCATTTGCGCCGATTCAGTTCAACTTTGGCCGTAAGACGCGTCGCTTGTAATTTTTGTGCGCAGTAAAAGATAGCCTCACTGTGTGTCAACGCGAGAATCTCAAGTTAGACCTTATTTAAATTGCCGCAGTGTAGATAAAAAAGGTATAATACAAAAAAATGCAGTAGCGCGTATAAAAATATAAAGGCTCCATTGTGAACAACAACAAATGTAACGAAATGCAATCGAAAAGAGTTTGACGTAAAAGTCATAAATACTTTCGCGTTCGTTTTTTCTCAAACTCATTTTTTATTTGTTGAATTGTTGATTTCTTTTATTGTTGTTGTCTGCCATATACACCGGTTGTATTTTTTTGGTATATTTTTGTGTGGCGCAGCGCACTGAATATTTGCCGAATTGATTCACACACGATACTGCGGCAGCTGTATCAGCGCAACAACAACAACAAATGAAACAAGTGTGAATAAACAAAAACGCGGCTAACAGTGAAGTCTTATTAGTGTTGTTGTGTATATACATATATACCGAAAAGAATGCGTGTACAGCAATCTTCTTTTGACGAGCTTTGAAAAAGACTGACATACACACACATGCATAAATACATATTTGTATGTGCTTACGTATGTACATATTTACTTGGTTTTTGTTTTTAGGTTCGCTTGCGGGACGTGAAAGTCTCACATGTTTTGATACGCTAGTAAATAGAGATTAGTGAAGTAAAAGAGCGTAACAGCAACAACAGCGATAGAACAACAACATTAACAAGAGCACTGCATATTTTGTAGATCAAGCAGCGGCATCAGCACGAAAATGGCCGAGTAAGTTATATATTCTATAACATTTTTTTCATTTATTTTTTGTTGTATTTATTCTTATTGTTATGCCCGTTGAAGTTAGTTTTTATTGTAGGGCAGGGCACTTTATATCAAGCACTTGTCTCTCTTTAAACATGTGTAAATACATACATATTGAGTACTGTAGGTTTTTTCCGCATGCTTATTAGCGCGCTTGTGGGCGGTAAATAATTTCATAGTCCACTAAATTTCTTTTTGGTAATATTGCTTTGTTTTCGTAAATTCTACAATAAATATTATTTTTTCTTCATATAATTTTTTTTTACTGGTTCTGCTCTTTTGCCTATTTTCGGTAATTAACTGTTTGCAGTAATTTTCCGAAAACAGCTTGCAACACGTTCTCGTCTCCATGGCCGTCTAGATTGTAGCTGCGCTCGTATGTTGCAGTTCATCTTGCATCAAGGTCAGTCGGCAACTGGCAGCAAACGAAGCGATGCAATGCTGTATGGTAAAAAAGCACTAACGCGGCGTTATAGCGTCTCATATTGGAATAAAAATTAATTAAAGTAAATTGAGTTGATAATTTAGTAGGGTATACGCACATATGTACTTATCAATGTATTAAGGTGATTAAAAGAATCTAAAATTTGTTTCGCTTGTTGGTCTGAAAAATAGACAGCCTCTCCGAAAATCTCTCCAAATGTGAGAAACGGAAGGTCCTCTGCCTTACAGTTTTCTATTTTTTTTTTTTTTCTTAGCAAAGAAGAGGACCAAAAATTCGACATTGTTTCATAGATTTTGTCTTTATTACCTCAAGTGTGGACGCAACAGCAGTTAATTATTCAAACAATTTGTTTCCTCAGTCAGAGTGTGACCGAGAAAAATTAACTTCCAAAGAGTTGTGAAACGAATTTAGAATCAAATTTCTTAGATCAGCTGAGGAGAAATTTTGATCAATATATGAATGCATACTTCTCTCACCAATATACCAGTTCTTACCTTTATTATAACACTCGGGATGTATGTGTAGTATAATTTCAATATTCCCAACGTTATCTAGGATTTTTGAACTAAAGCCGCATCCCATCTTCTCTAAATTTATAAGGAGCTCGATGGCTTTGCTTTTATGAGGATTTATTTAAAAAATCTACTCTGTAAAGATCGGACTTGGCGATCGGGTTGCATCTTCTGTTCATCCACTTCTGCAGTATGGTCCTTCCCGACAATTCTCCAGCTCCTCTAGTATATTTAAATTACTATCGGCCGGGTTGCGCTCTTTGAGATGAAGATAACGGTAAAGGTATTTCCGAAGCTTCTGAACCATGTTTCTTGTAGTTATCCATAATTCTGGAACTAAAGCCGCATTTCTCTAAAATCAGAAGAAGCTCGGTAGAGGTGGCCTTGTTTATGAGCAGATTTATTTGAAGAACCTACTCTGTTAAGCTACGAGTTCTTCTTGGGGAGTTGATTTCTGCGTCATGGAGCTTCAAGATGGGTAGGATCCCATCTAAATTTTTCTCGATCACTTTCCTGCTCCTACATTACATTATTATCGCCCGAATATTCTTGGCTTCTTTATTTGGAGTATGTACATGTGTATGTAGTTCTAACTACCATCATCCCAACCCTTGTATACATGTATGTATGTATGTATGTATATATGTATTTACCTTTTATGTAAAAATATAACATGTAAACAAAAGCAATTAAATCACTTGTACAAGTTTTTATCGGGCTGATTTCCTTCCATGAACTCTCATTAATAACCGGCAAATTGACGATCAGTTCATATAATATTACGGAAAAAATGTTGAGAGATAAAAATGTGAAAAAAAAGATTTTAGGAGATTCTCAGAGAGAGCCATGCGATTTCACTCAATTTAGTAGTATATAGTTTACATTTGATTGATTGCACGTAGATCAAATCACTATAAAGTGATATAAGCAGCTGTTAGGATAGGTATGGTAGTATTTTCATATTTCTAATCAAACTTCAACTTTTTTTTATTTATATTGAACTGTAATGAACCAAATAGGTACTATTTTGGTCGACTACTTTTTGCCATTTTTCCGCTAAAGACGTTATTCCAAATAGTGTAAAACTTTCCAAGTTTCTCGGGGAAAAATTGCGACATATAATTTTCACAGGCTTCTCCATTAAGAGAATTCTGCATTGACCGAATGAAATGGTAATCCGATGGTGCAAGGTCAGGACTATATGGTGGATGTATCAAAACTTCCCAGCCAAGCTCTGTCAGCTTTTGCCGAGTCATCAAAGATGTTTGTGGTCTAGCTTTGTCCCGATGGAAGACGAAGCCCTTTCTGCTGATCAACTCTGGCTGTTTTTTTTTTCGATTTCTTGCTTCAATCTCATCAGTTTTTGACAGTAAAATGTAGAATAAATTATTCGGCCAGGCTGGAGCAGCTAATAGTGGACGACATTTATTGATAAAATACGAAAAAACTTTTTCGTCTACCCAATATTTCAGCCTCTAAAAGTTAGACGATTTCTCAAAGCCCAGATATAGGATTTTACGTTTGGCGCCGTCAAATCAAATATAATATGCCAATAACAAAAAAATAAAATGCTAATAATAGAAACCTTGCTAATAAGTGCGATGTTTTTTAGCTCTAGGCTAATAGCCTATTATTACTTATTTGCTAATTAAATACTTGCATTTATATATCTATAAAACGCGTAGCACCCTAACCCTTGACATTAAATATAATTTTTTCTTCTAAGTTCAAGTTCCTTTGTATTTCAATAGACTCATTAAAGCATTTAGTTCCTGTTTAGTAAAGCACTAATACATCAAATATTATTATACTGCTGAAATAAACACTTTTGTAATTACCTAATATATTAAATACATACGGGCTTATGTCATATACCAGTACACATTACTATGCACTTTTTTTTTTATAAAATTTAATATTTAGCAAGTTCTCTTCTGCCTTGAGTTGACAAAAAAATTTAGAGTTTTTTCATGTATGAATATATATATGTACATATATTTAGACATATCTTATGCATATTTTGTTCTTATCTTATTTGTTATAATAACAAAATAATATTTTTCTCAAATCAAAGTTTAATTTGTTGATTAGCACCGCTCGTAGTATGAGTTAAGTGATACAGGTATGCAGATAAGCGCTTGGTATTTCACAGCCTTACTCAAGTATCTGAACAATAAAAAAATATGACTCATTACTGTCCGAGTTCGCAGTGCTTGAGTGGAATACAAATTATATTTTTACTTAGAGTTAAAGGCTTAGATGATTGTAAAATATTATATATGTATAGAAGTTCTTATATTTGAATTTGTATATCCTGAACTGGGTATATTAAGTTTGACTTATCTGTCTGTCCGTCTATCTGTATACGTGAACTAATCGCTCAATTTTTGAGATATCGTTTCTACTCATATTATAGCATATTGCTGTCATACAAACTGATTAATCAAATTAAATTACTTTGAAAAACTGGCTTGAATAAATAAAAACTGAGAGGCACAATTTTCGACCACTTCAAATAGTGCCTTTCGTAAGCCCACAAATCATGGTCCTTTCCTAAAATATTGCGCAGTTCCAATTGATGCGCGCGATGGGGGATGGACTCATTCTGGTCTTCAGCGTCGGGTCAGTAGCGTCTTCGGTGTGCACTGTACGCGTATGTGAGGAGGCTCATTATCCGACAAAGTAAAAGTTTTGTTAAATCGATCAATGATTATGCTGGACGATTATGTGGACCGAATATTGTACGCAGAACCGAAGTACATATAAATAAATAATAAATTTAGCTGATCTGCAAAAGTTGTTCCGAAGTAAGACTGTTCACTATGAAATGGCAAACCAAACTGAGAGAGAATCAACAGCTTTCATAAAATACCGTATAGTCCAGATCTTGCTCCCAGCAGCTTTTTCCTATTCTCAGATCTGAAAAGAATGCTTGTTAGGAAAAATTTTTGCTGAAGTGAACGTGATCGCTGAATCTGAGGCTTATTTTGAAACAATGGACAAATCGAAAAGTTGGTGGATCACTATAATCACCCTTGAAAGGAACAATGTTGAAGAAAAAAACGAATTTTGCCAAAAAATTTTGTTTTGCTTTAGTAGGTCGGGGACTTTTCAATTGACCTGTTATTCGGAACGCAAAAACAATGATCAAATCCTGTTATTATACTTCTTTATTGGCGTAGATACCGCTTACTCGAGTTTACAACATCGCGCCAGCCATTCTTCTTTTCCGTTATTTCGCGCCAATTGGAGACTCGACCTTGCCGTTCCAACGGAGTGGTAGTTTTCCTCTTCCTCTGCTTCCACCGCCGGATACTGGGTCAAATACACTCAGAGCTGGGATGTTTTCATCCATTCGGACGACATGACCTAGCCAGCGTAGCCGCTGTCTCTTAATTTGCTGAACTATGTCCATGTCGCCGTATAACTCGTACAGCTGATCGTTCCGTCGACTGCGGTATTCGCCGTTGCCCATGCGCAAAGGACCATAAATCTTCCGCAGAACCTTTTCTTCGAAAATTCGTAACGCCGACTCATTAGGTGTTGTCACAGTTTATGCCTCTGCACCATATAATTGAACGAGGCTGATAAGTGACTTATAGAATTTGGTCTTTGTTCGTCGAGAGAGAACTTTAGGCATGAGTATTTCTGCTTTAGATTTCGAGACTGGGGTTATTCATGGTGTTAATGCTGGTTTCGGTCTTAGACCAAGCATCCTCTAGGTAGCGAAAAACATTCGTTTGAAGGCGATGATGAAAAGATAAAATCTTATTTCGCGCTTCAAATAATATTCTTGTAGTAATTTGGAGCAGCCGAGCCTTTCGCTATTAGCTAAGTCATGTCTTAAATTCGTATTTAATGTAGCTCAATAAAGTATCGTTACCTGGAAGGTCTGTTATAACGCTTCGAAACTGAGTACCAGCTAATCTTAAGAGTTCGATTCGTCGCATTCCTTAGTAAGGTATCAACATTTTTACTAAATCCATTATAATTTTATTCACTTAACA